CCGGGTCGCCGCCTTTCCCGTGGGGTACCAACTAACATTTTTGGAGTCAATCAAACCCCCCGATCCGGGCCTCTACTCAGGTCTATCCTCTTTGTGGTCACCCCTGGGCTCGACCGCGGTGCCCTCTCTGCCATGGGGTCGTACTAACCTGNTTTTATTGCAGAGATTAAGGGATGAAACGCAGGTTGATGGATGGGGAATTTAATTCTCCATTGAACAGTCTTTGTTTCATCCCTTAATATTAATTATGGGGCGAATAAATCAACTGAAAAACATAAAGTACACATTGAGTACAAGGAGGACAAAAATCTCCCTCCGAACCTGTCCCTGTCACAGCGGGACTGCTACTGCCGAGTTACTCACGCACCCGACTCACATTTACCGACAATTCGACCGGGTCGCCGCCTTTCCCGTGGGGTACCAACTAACATTTTTGGAGTCAATCAAACCCCCCGATCCGGGCCTCTACTCAGGTCTATCCTCTTTGTGGTCACCCCTGGGCTCGACCGCGGTGCCCTCTCTGCCATGGGGTCGTACTAACCTGACGCTGGGGTCGGCCAAACCCCCGGATCTGAGCCTCTACTTTAGTCTATCCTCTTTGGTAGTGACGATAGTTGATTCCGAAACGCACCCTTATGTGTGAATTTATTCGAATGCAAATTGAGCGATGAAATATATGAAAAATCATGACAAAAATTTACTAATTGAATGAATGAAGCAGAATTAAAGATGAAGAAAATACTAATAGTAATTTTGGAACAGAGAACAATGGCGCTTGACAATTTTTGGTAACATTTTAATCGAGCAAAAACATATGTTTAGGATTTTGTTTTGCCTAGATAAGTAATCAACTTCAAATTGCGGAAATTTAGGTTCCTCTAGATGCACCAAAGAAAAACTGAAAAATTCAAAAATGAGAAAATTATAAATTAAAACATGTTTTGACACTAAATGACTAGATTAATTCTACAAAATTGTTAAAAATTCCAAGTGTAAAGTGCAATGACGTTGCCTCCTTTTTTCACCTGTGGCTTTCTATCCTACGTTAGGGATCACACAGTGAGGGACGTTCAAGTGTACTGGTACCATCCGGATTTCAGTCAGAGTCGATATCCACCTGGTCAACAAGGCAAAAATGTTTTTATTTTTTGTATTTAAAATAAAAGATAAGTTTATAAATGCTGGTGATTCGAAAATTCTTTCCAGAATATGCCACTTTAGGGGAAAATATCCACATACATTTTTCATAAATGATATTCTCAGCCACAAAAAAGATCTCTCGTTCCGAGGATAATAAGAGACTAAATGATTGTACACGTATCATTTGAATTTTTAATAAACTCGTTAACTCGGTTGCAAGTGACATTGAAAATAATCAGAAGATTTTTCCTCTACAAAAATATCACGACAGAATGATGATCATAAAAAAACATTGTGGTTGACTTATGACATTTTACCATTTGAATAGTGGAACTATTCAAGTAAATAATCGATTTGACTAGTCTTAATTACACGAAATATTTCATGGTAATTACTTCGAAAGTCACAAATTCTCGAGATATTTCCATTATCACCAAACTGCAATAAGTTAAATTATTAGGTTTTAACACTCCAATGCAGAATCAGTTTTTTCACTGTTCAATTTTCTTTGAATTCTTCTCTTTTACTCTTAAGCAGTTAGCGAAGCTTGCACATTGATATGTCTTCTTGTCGCCCAACGCATTTGCGAGTCAAAATTGCAACTTGAGAATGTAGAGACTTCTCCTCAGCTAACAGCGATGATTGGAGCATCGATTGTAGAAGGAAATGACACTCATGCTTGGATCCTTCGACGAGGATTAGTACCCCATCCTTATTTGAACACAGACGAGGCCCTCACATTTGGTGGCAAACGTTTAAAAAGTATTGTAGAATGGGTAATTAACAATTTTGAATATTTCGAATATTTTTTTGAAATCTTATCAAAAATCAAAATTAAGGTGTAATATAAATTATTTTGTGAATAAACATTTCCAAAACTCGGCGGTTTAAACGCAAACTTCGAAGAAAAAGTTCCTTCCTGAGTTTCGACAATTCTATACCAAATGATGTGTTGAAATTGTTTTCGAAACCCACCAGTTTAGAAAATGTGAATTAAGTTTAGATTCATATTTGTGAATTACTGAATCACATGTACATTTAAATTTCCTACATCTAATTCCAACCAATTGATGAATAATTTTATGCTTTTCATCTGCAGCAATTTCAGGTCTTCAGAGAAAATATTGAGACAAGTCTCTGTACGAACATTCAAAGATTCCTACATGATTGGTACCAGAAACCCCGAGGCGAAACCCTTATTATGCTTCTGATCACATGTGGCCGAACAGTATTATTGCTATTCCAGAGCAGGGCGAATAAAATAACACTTTTCGATTCTCATGGACACAGTACAGTCAGGAATCCACACAGAGGCTTAGTAGTTGCTCAAGTAATCTCTGTTTCATTATTAATCATGTGATTATTCCGGATACATGACAGAAAAACCCTTTTGGTAGTGCACAAAATTGGTAAAACATTTTTGAAAAATGAAACAGTCGATAAACAACTGTTTGACGCAATTCAAACACAACAAATTTTTGTTAATAACTTTTTTTTTTGTAAACTTTTGTTTATTCTTATAACTTCTTTTACGATTGGAAGTACTCATGAGAATAATAATTGTCCATTCAGTAGAATGGAAAATTATTGAGGAGTTTTAACGGAGAAGATTTTGTTAATGGATTAATCGAAAAGAAAACGAAATGAAACAGAAAAATCTAAAGTCCAGAGGAAGGCCCAGGGGGACACCCAGAGGGGGAAACAGGACAATGTGATGCTGAATTTCAATCAAATAAAAAAAGAAAAGTGTAATCGTCCTAATCTATTTCAATTATAGATGAAATATTTCATATTACTTGAAAAGAAAACTGGATAAAATTAGTGAAAATGATTAATATTGCTTTTTCCATATAAGAAATATATGAAAAACCTTCCGGAGTGTCGAAAGAGGAGAGAACGTAGACTCAGCAATAACGAGGTCTTAGTTGGTCAAAGTCAGGCTGATTAGTGGACGTTGAGATCGAGATCTAACAAGAGTGGGATTCAGTCGCTACGCTATATCGGGGCTTCGAATATCAGTGATTTTTTTGCACCACATGTTCTTTTCTACCGAATAGAAAATTATTATTCTCATCAGCAATTCCAATAATAAAAAAAAGTTGATAAAGAAAAAGTAATAAAAAAAAATTCTAATTTTTTTTGCTTGAATTGCGTCAAATAGTCGTTTTTCGCTGTTTCATTTTGTCCTATGTGTCATTTTGCCCCATTCTTCCCTATTAAATATTATTCAAGATCAAACATTGAGAAACATTCATGAATTAGTAACAATGCATTAACAGGCATCGAATAACTCTACATTCTCTCGGAAACGTCTTTTGACATGTTTTCCTAAACCTTCCGGTTTCAGTGATATTTACAGAACCCTGGTTGAAATTTTAACTCAATTGTTGTCCGCTACTTCGGTGAGAGGACTCCAATCGTTGTAACAATCTCATTTTTCTTTAGGCAAAATTCGAAAGATTATACGACTTATGTGACTGGTACATTCAAGACGTCCTCCACAACTGCTTTAACGTCTACGCAGATCAGTACGAATTAGCTTTCCTCTATTACGTAGACGCCGGTTGCTGCAAAAGTGAAGAAAGTCCATGTGACTGTGGCTGCAACAATTGCTGAATAAAAACTATTCGACTATAAAGGAAAAAAACAAAAAATTAAACTCACTACTTTGTTTCATTATTTCGTTTTATTGGAGCCACAAAAAATTAAAACTTCCGTATTCAGATATACTGACATTTATTTACATTATTTACAGTTTCTCAAGAGATTATTTTCATGTGCTTATGTTTTTTTAATGTTTTTATGCCACTTCGAATTTTTCTAATTTTGTGTACAGCAGAGCTTATAGATTTTCAATGAGTATTACAATTTGTTAATATTCCCTATCACCAAAAAGTATAAATTCCATCCAAAATGTTTTGCTGAACAACGAAAATTCGAGATGAGCTAATCCATTGATTTCCAATCCAACAGTTTGAGAATTAAAATATGAAAAATATTGAACATCTACGATTGATTTATTCAAATATTCAATATTAATGTCTATTGCATGGTGCTGGAGTCTAGGAAAAAAGTTAATTCCTAGAGCATCAATTTCACGTAGATTTTTTCCCTCTTACCCGTTCTATGTAAACATCCTAAGAGTTATTGAATCATATGATAATTTCAATACCGAAGAGTTGAAGAGCTGGAGACAAGCGCACAGAAAACCTGATTGCGCTTTATGTTGTGAATATATGAATAAAAGAAAGGGATATCAAGGAAATTATTGAGAGATATGTTTTGGAGGAATTTTCATCAGCTATAGAAAAGGTCTATTGGCATTTTTCGTTAAAATGTCTCATTTACGAGATGATCAACTAATTAGCACTTTTTATGTAAATTATTTCATGGATTATTAAACATATTTGTCAATTCTTGAATTATTCGGATGGATTGATGCCAGGAGAATGTATCACGGGACCTGTATCCTGTAGAACCTTAATAACAATAAAGAAAAGTCTGACGTTTTACTCTGAATCCACCAGCTCTTTCGATATCACTAGATAATCAAATTTCTGATTGGACTCATTTTATCCACTTCATAGATTTCATTCCCTCTAATCTTAAAATCTTTAACAAAACTCTAATTATTCTCATTTCTTTTTGCGCATCACTTCATGTATAATAATACAGTACTCTGTTGACGTTTTACGTTGCATTGAAGTATCTCACGGTAGAAAACTTGAAAAAACAAAATGATCGTGGGTAAAAAGTAGGAAAAAAGACTTTCATAAAAAATGATAAGAACAAATGGTACCAAATGCACCCAAATTTTACAATCTGATGAACAGTAAGTGCAGGTTAAAAATCAGAAAACAAAAAAAATGAAAGATGAAAATCAACGATGAATGAAAAAAATTGGAATCACGTGGAACAAAATTTCTTTACAGAAATCTTTCTCTTCTCTTGATAAATGATGATGAACGGAAAATTTCGTTTATATTTTACAACTGTAGTGTGTGAGGAGGCCTCATAACTTCGATGACAAAATCTTCAATTTTTCCTATCTTTGTCTCCCTTTCAACGTTTTTCTCTCTAGAAGTCTTTAAGGTATTTAATATCTACAACAATCGTATGAACAGATTCTTTTTTGTGTTTTCGTAAAAATATATATTTCCAAGCCGAAGGAGAGTTTGAATTGAATTGTTTAAAATGCAATGACTGATTACTTTTTTTTTATAGTTCTAAATGCATTTTTTCTTGGCTCTGGTATACAATTAAAAATTGCATTTCAAAATTTGTTTTTATTTCTATGATTTCAAGTCAATGTTCTATGAAAGTTATTATTCAATGTTGACAAAATTGTTTTCAAGAACTTCTTATGAAATTTATTGACAATATTACGAATTATTCAGATGATATTATTGGGCAATCGGAAATGCTGATGGAAATAACTTCCTATCGAAGTAATTTAGGAAAATTTATCAAATATCTTTCTTTAGCTGAAGATTTGACAGGCTTTAAAAATTATTTCTTGGTATTTTTGCGAAAATGGTTTTCAAGCTATCTACAAAATCATTGGTATTGACTTTTTGAAACTAATGACCAGTTCTTGCCACTCGTGGCTTTTTGGATCATTCAATTCATTGTAGAAGTGAAATTGAGGTTCCCTCTTTAACTGTACTAATTTGAACTCTCCTCAGGATGTAGATTCATAGGATTTTTGTAACTTTTATGTCGAAATGGGAAAGCGTATTGTTATGAATAATAATTGGAATGTGTAAATTCGCTCTAGCAATTTTGTTTGATATTGATTAAAGAATTATCTGATAAAACCTTTTCGTTTTTTCAAGTGAGATTCGATGTATTCTTTCACTATTTTGACGACTCTATTTGTGGAACTTGAAGAGTGGATTGTTACGACTTTGTCAAAAAATTGATATCAGAAAAATGAAAAAAATGTTTTTATCCTCTCCCGATGTCTGTCGGATGAACGATTTTTTTGTTAGTTTCATATGCTGGTTGATAGAACGATCTAAATGCGCGGTTCCAAGGAAAAAATGTCTACCAATGTTATTTTCTCAGCCCCCAATTGGAAAAATTCCGTACTATGTTTCTCACTTTCATTTCACAATTCAATGTTCTACCCACTATCCTAGAAGTTCCGAAATTTTCATTGAATCAACATTGATTCATCTCAAGTGTCTTTCCTCAGAAACGATAGTGTCACCTACACGAGATTTTTCACAAAAGCCAAGCATCAGGTTACGTGGTATCGTATGAAAGTAGTTACGTTGTGTCTTTCTTCGAAAAAATACTCAACGAAATAAATTAATGATATTTCATTTTTCTCATTAGAACGAGGGGATGTTAGAGGGACTGACTAACCCTAGGCTGTGCCCATTCCACAAAATCATCAATTAGCACCGGCCAGGCACCTTCCTCATCATAATTAGTCATATCTGGATTTATCATCAGTGCAAAGTCCAGAAGAAGATTCCAAGTGTCTTTAGGGATCGATCTTTTGTGATGTTCCTGAGGAAAAAACAACGAAATTAAGGGAATTCCCGTTGTCTGAAATTATTTCGTCAACATTTTTATCAACTGGTTCAAGTAGTGAACAAGCCACGATAATTTTTTATCAATCCTTTTTTGCGCGAAAATGTGAACGACTTGTTTCGTTTGAAATTTGTCCAGGCACAACGAAGTTTTCTACTACTTTCCCATGGAATGACATGTTTCCGAGATTAAGGGTATCCAAATAGCTTTGGCTATTCTTTCCCCAGTGAAATGCTTTTCTACTTCTGTAGCCGAACATCAGTGCTTTCACATAAGCCCCATTTGATCCTAAGTTTCCGGACATTTTACAATGATTGTATTTATTTACTTTGCTGGTCTCAATTTGAATCTCTATATTAAACCGTTGGCAAACATTTTAAAAATTCGATAAAAAATTACAGTTTACTTTTGGAGGGAGATTAATGCAATAATGTAAAAATTACGAGCATTTTCTATAAATAGTTTATAAACAATCAATTTTCCACCATAAAAAACATTTGTTCTGAATCGTAACAAATTTATTCATATTCAAAATTTTACCAGAAATCGATTTCATGTCTAAAAAAATCAGTTTTGCGAAAGTGTAAATAATTTCATTTATTTATTTATAAACAACGAATCTTTAAAAAAATAATAATTCTGGGCAAAGTGTAATTTCATTGACACTGAATATTCATGACTTTTTTCAAATTTTTTTCACGCAATTTAGTTGACAAATTTTATGATTGAAAATGGTTGAATCTATAGTGTGGTAGGTACCAAACTGTAAAAGATATATGGATATCCTTCATAGAAAAATGGATTTATCATGGATTTTACAGGCACTTCAATGCACATTTCGAGTTGATGAAACAGTTACCTGAAGAAATTGACACCAAAGCTGCAGAAACTTGAATTTCTCCACTAGAACGATGTTCCAATACGCAATGGCCATGTCAAGATCAAGGCCTTTTTGCCCCGGATTCTTGGCATAATTGAATGTGAAGTGATAGAAATCTTTGAATTTTTGGGAATCTCGAAGCTCATTTTCTAGGCTGTTCAGTCTTGCCTTAAGTTTATCGGTGCTGTCAACTCTACATTAAGAAATTCATAAAACATTCTCATCCGTTCCAGATAGTTTCTTAATTTATTAGATGATTATCTCGGAAATGAGTGGATTTCGAAGAAAGTAGTATGAGACTTATCTATAGGAAATTTCCTCAGGGTTTCCTACAGGCAATGTCTCACCATCATTCCTCCTAGCAACATTCATCACCGAGCAGGGTCAATGGTTAAAAAATTAAAATCGATGAAACTCTTACCCCAACTCTGTCATTCCATTTATAAACTCATCTTTCGTGAATTCACATTGTGTTTCAGCTCTGAATTTCCAGGCAATGATCAATACCAGTTTACTTTCAGGACTGAGTCCAAGGTCATCCAGAAACTTCATAATCCCATCTGCAGTAATTTTATCCGGCTCACTCGCATCTAAACAATTTCATACGAAATTCAGTTCAATATTCGTTGATTATTTGGGTTCAAAAATCAGTTCAAACCGACCTATCACACTGTTTTCAAAATAATTCTTTTGCTGAACAGTACCTAAACGATTCAAGAAAGATGGTTTAAATATGTCCACTGTAAGTATAAAATTTTAAATTCTAAGCGTTGCAATTAAAATTTTTACTGAAGAATATGAAACAAACATGACGAGGATAATTGCATAATTTTAATTTTTTAATGGAAAACAAATATCCTTAAACTAGGAATAATGTTCTGTCCAGAAATATATTTAGAATTCTGCAGAAAAAATCTTATTAATCCTGTAGGCAAATTCGGTTGGAACTGGTTGTTCTTGATGTGGAAATAAGTTTACTCAAAATCATATTTACTTTAATGAGCAAAGTACTTTTATGATTTTATCGCTGAAATTATTGGCCCTCTTACCTTGGTATCTGGCAAATAGTGCCTCTAGTCTTTTTTTATCTACACTGAAAATGCTCTTTGACTCCTTGTAATAGGCATCAGGGTTTTGAAAATAATTATCACTGGCTAGATCCAATTTCCAATCGTTCTGTGCCAGACAATAAATAGCGGTCTGTTCGCCAGTCTGAGTGAAAGTTATAAATTTCTTAACCTTGTCCTTTTGTGAGAATTTCAGCTTATGCTGCAAAAAGAAAACCACAATAGACTAAAATTAAACGAAGCCTTCTCTCAAACTCCATCATTGAACTCCGAAAAAAAATCAAGGCATCAATGGTACAAGAATGAGCATTCTGAGTCATTCAATGACAAACTCTACTATAATGAATCTAGGAAAAAAACAATCCCGGAGAAAATAACAATATCGCATAGGTTTTAACACGTGATCGGTGCGTGCTCTTTTTGTTCAGTGGCTTTTTTCTGCCTACCGACTCCAATTACACCGAAACAAAGTGAACGATTTGAGATTAGTACGATGTTTAGGTTAATTCTTTGCCACCAAAAAATCATTTCAGAATTTTTCAGGAACAGATACGTCTTTCTATCCACAACCTAAACTTCTTAAGAAACCACAATAGTGAACATGAAAAAAAATTGTAAAAAAAACTCCTTACCATTTTTTATGTAATTTTCGGCCCCCGAAAGCCAAAATATTATTCCCTTACACTATATTTGACATAAATATGCGCATGCCTCCGTTCGCCTTTTTTCGAGTCGAAGAAATAAAAAAGCACTTGAAGAACAACGGGATAACTGTAAAAGAGTGGAGTGTCTCCATCTGTTTGTAATGGATAATATCTCGGATTTCTTCATTTCCAACACTATGTTGATTATGAAGAGATCCCCGACTGCCATTTAATTGCAATAAATAAACGCGTCGGTAGGACGGAGGCATTGACGGCTCCGGTGGTAGCATTGGAGCCAGTTCGAGTTGGCATAAACCTCCAACCCGAATTTTCTCCCTCGTTTTTTTCGTTATTTCGGTGGTGTAACCACTATACGAGAATATCGTTTTATATCAAAACCTCCTTATCGATCACTCACTCTCCCGTCCAACCCCTCGTGTACATACGCTCGCAGTACGTTAAATGGTGACCATGGTGGGTGACTATAATAAAGCGTGTGAGTTAATGAGGCCATCATTCAACTGTTATTAAAAATATGATTTTTTGTGTCTCAAAAACATCTGATTTAATAATCAGTATTTTTAATCATTGAAAAGTGCAGAATTTTATTATTATTTGGGAAGTGAGTTAAGAAGGAAAGATGACGTGCTTGAGACCCACTAGAAGAAAAAGTCAAGATTTTATCACGGAGTGATAGACTAGGTTGCTATTGTTATTAACTTTGGTGTGAGTCAGAGTGTCCATGCTGTTGGTAAGCTGCTCCTGACGAACGATAGGGTAATTATTGGTAGCACAATTGGGGTTAAGGGCTATTGTGGCTAATGGGGTGTTTTAGAGAGCTTGAGGGTTATTTTTACCGGTGTAGTAGGTGAAATGGGGAGTTCTTGGTGGCAGTGTACCGCATGCCTCAGAGCGCAGGAAGAGGACATCTGCGAGCTACAGTTGAATCACTGCAATCTGTATGATGTACCACCGGATGTGTTCATTTATGAGAGAACACTGGAGATGCTTCATTTGGATGCCAACAGAGTAATTATCGAACATTTGTCATTTACAATGAATGAATGGATGAGTATAATTAGTGGTGGAGGGTTGAAAGAGTTAGTCCGGTGATTATATATTAGTTATTTGGAACCTTTGTATAAGAAAGTTTGAGGAGTACCTACAAGATTGGTCTCTTGGCGATTTCTTCTAAATTCCTTATTTTGGAGGATACTTGAAAAATAGTCATTTGTGTAAAATTTTTCGAGAGGGAATGAAATCACAGTATATTTCGTCATTAGGCTTTCGTCCTCGGCTTCGTCTCGGGCCGTCAACTTCACCCTCGTGAAAATTTCGTCTCATTCGTATCGAAATATAGGCTATCCAGTAGAAGTTTATCCTTCCGAGGGTGCCCCCACTCTACGTAATTCCCACTCACATGCTTGGACCCCACTCCAAAAATCCACTGCTATTCTTCTGGAAGATAACCTATATGGGCCATTCCGCCAAATATCGGCGGAAATCTGGCCTCAAAATTTTCGACAATTTTTTTTTCTTCTTCTGAATTCTTATGTATATAAAAGAAGATTTTTCAACGCGTAAAGGTCCCGCGGCTCAATTAGAGGCCGTCCGCATGATTACGAGTTTTAGATTTTAAATTTTTCGCTCTTATAGAACGTATTAAAAGATGGTAAGAAAAAAAAATCAAAATATAGTTTTTGATCGGAAATTTTCGGAATTTCCCGAAAATGATGTTCATTTTCTCCCTCCACCCCTCCTCCATCGTGAAAATCGAAAAAGAAACCTCTAAACGTCATTTTTGACAAATTTGCCATTTTTTTTTTCAAATCTGATATTTTATCTCAAAAATTCAGAGAATTTCCGATTAAAATCATGTTTGAAACTTGTTCGCTCCTATGATGCTCATCTGCAGAAAAATGATTCTAAAAAAGCGAATATTCGAAAAATAATAATATTGTAGGAAGAAGACGATATTTCCATAGAAGATGATGATATAGAAAATAGAGAATGTTTCCATGAAATATGGTCTTGGTTCTATGATATTCATCACTTTTCGAATATTCATTTTTTTGTGTGTTATTTTTCTTTACTTGAGCATTATAGAAGCGAACAAGTTTCAAATATGATTTTGATCGGAAATTTTCTAAATTAAAAAAAAAATATATTAGATTTAAAAAAAATGGCGAATTGGCCAAAAATGACGTTTAAAGGTTTCTTTTTCGATTTTCACGATGGAGGAGGGGTGGGGGAGAAAATGAACATCATTTCCGGAAAATTCCGATCAAAAACTATGTTTTGATTTTTTTTTCTAAGCATTTCTACGAACGTTCAATTCGATTGAACAATTTTCGCGTAAAATCGTTGAACCTTGCGCAGCCCCTCTAATTAAAAGACGGGACCTTTCCTAGTCGAGAACTCTTTTTTTCTATACACAACTAGTACAAAGAAGCAAAAAAAAAAGTATCGAAAATTTTGAGGCCAGCTTTCCGCCGATATTCGGCGAAATGGCCCATATACTATTCTGGCGAAAAGGAGTTTCCAGCCCGAGCCGAAGGCCAGGCTTGCAATCATATGAGCTAGAAAAATTGTTGTAGGCGGTTTGACGAACGATATTTTTCGTCATAACTGCACGGTATAGTTCAATTTTTCTTCGTAAATGCAGGGGGGAATGTGGGTTATGTCATTTTGAGGATCGTCAAAAGCAACGAAATCCGAGGAATGAAATAAGCCACTTTCTTCCCGTCATTTGGGGAGGAAAATCGAATTTTTCGTGCAGATATGGCGAAATAGTATCTTATGTTATAAGGCGATAAAACTATTGTCTGGCGAATGTGGCTTTATAATCCAAGCCGAAGGCGAGGATTATAATCACGTTCGCCAAATAATGCTTTTAGTCCAGTCAAATTAGATTTTGTATATCGAAATTTACCAAAGGGCACCAAATTATACCAATCGATAGCTAAAAGTGTCATTATTAATGTTTTAAAAAGTATATGCTCCAATTTGCCGGGTTGATTCACAATTTGTTATAAACAATTGGGAATTGGCAACAGGCCGTCTTCAATCCTAGATATCTTTAGTTAACCTCACCAGATGGGAAAAAAAAAATTTCTTTGTAGCTGAGAAAATTTCCTATCGGGGGAAGTTAGGAACTTATAGCCCAAAATGTACCGTTAATTTATGATAAATTATAATAGCAATTTCGGAGCAGTCGGCGCAACGCGTCACCTGTTCCCCTCCCTGCGCCAGGGCCATGAGTCACGTGATTGGCGCCACGCGCAACTTATTCAAATCTCCCGCTGTGCTCAACCCAATAGCCCTCAGCTGGGTTTTTCATGAATATCTCCGGATCTGTGGGTGGTAACCAAATTTCCGTTATAAACTTGTTTGGTGAGGAACTAGATTTAGGGTGGATTGGGAGGTTAGAGGATCGTCGGTGTGAAATAATGGTTGAGAGTCTTGACCTAATATCAACGTGCATTTATTCTCGAGTCGAACCACGCTTTGTCAAATTTACAAAAACACCTTGTCACTTGTTGATCGTACTAAATTGAATTAATTGTCTATAGTTTTAGCACTGTGAGTCACTCGTTGAATGGTCAATAAATAACGTGATTTTCTTTTACCGAATTTCTATCGCCGAGTTAATAGACGCTAATGTACTGTGGTCTAAACTCTACAGAGTTGAATTCTATTCAAAACGTGCTATACGACAGACCGTGATGTACTGACTCGCGTTGATTTACGGTGACTCTACTAGACCTGAGCGTTGACCCGGAAAAGGCCGATGATTTTCGTAATTGGCCGAGCTGATCGACCTTGGTCTTGGAGAGGTTGAGTTACGTTTCAAACAAAACTTTTTTGTAGATCTTTATTTGCTCTATAAAAATGGTCTTGACAAAAATTTTGCTATTCTCCAACGTTTTCGAGATATTCAATGAAAAATAAAAAATAGTCAAAATAAAATTGAAAAATTTGGTACTGAATTGTCGGCGGACAATTTCACTTATTATTGTTCAAGATCCATTTTTTTATATCTGAAATTTTACTAATTTTATAATTCCTCTGATGCAAATTGACAAGTCCAAGATGGCACGGAAGTTAGCAGATGCTCTCCAGCAGATGCATTGGTACGGCCCTGGAGTCGGGCGCCTAATGTACTGTATCTAACTAGATACTTGTGGAATTATCTCGAGTCGTATCACACGTAGTAGGTTTGCACTTCTGCAAAGGTATCTGTAGGATACTTCTGTATAAATTACTATCATTGTTGGAATAATGAACGTCAATTCAAATTCAATTTTGATACCTTCCTCAACCCTCCTTCAATTCACCCCTCAAATTTCAAGTTTCCACCCCCGATACAAGGGTCCAAATCCTCACTTCATCCCCCTTAAAAAATGAACGTCAACTTAGATTCATCCTCAAAACCTTCCTCAACCCTCCTTCAATTCACCCCTCAAATTTCAAGTTTCCACCCCCGATACAAGGGTCCAAATCCTCACTTCATCCCCCTTAAAAAATGAACGTCAACTTAGATTCATCCTCAAAACCTTCCTCAACCCTCCTTCAATTCACCCCTCAAATTTCAAGTTTCCACCCCCGATACAAGGGTCCAAATCCTCACTTCATCCCCCTTAAAAAATGAACGTCAAGTCAATTCACCCTTAATACGTTCCTCGACCCTCCCCCCAATATGCCCCTCAAATTTCAAGCCCCCACCCCCGATACGAGAGTCAAAATCCCCACTTCATCCCCCTTAAAAAATGAACGTCAAGTCAATTCACCCTTAATACGTTCCTCGACCCTCCCCCCAATATGCCCCTCAAATTTCAAGCCCCCACCCCCGATACGAGAGTCAAAATCCCCACTTCATCCCCCTTAAAAAATGAACGTCAACTCAAATTCACCCTTAATACCTTCCTCACCCCTCCCTCAATAAACCCCTTGAATTTCAACTTTCCAACCCCGATACAAGGGTCAAAATCTCCACTTCATCCCCCTTAAAAAATGAAAATCAACTCAAATCCACCCTCAGTACCTTCCTCGACCCTCCCCCCAATATGCCCCTCAAATTTCAAGCCCCCACCCCCGATACGAGGGTCAAAATCCCCACTTCATCCCTCTTAAAAAATGAGCGTCAACTCAAATCCACCCTCAATACCTTCTTCGACCCTCCCCCAATATACCCCTCAAATTTCAAGCCCCCCCCCCCGATACGAGGGTCAAAATCCCCACTTCATCCCCCTTAAAAAATGAACTTCAACTCAAATCCACCCTCAATACCTTCCTCGACCCTCCCCCAATATACCCCTCAAATTTCAAGCCCCCACCCCCGATACGAGGGTCAAAATCCCCACTTCATCCCCCTTAAAAAATGAACGTCAATTCAAATCCACCCTCAATACCTTCCTCGACCCTCCCCCAATATACCCCTCAAATTTCAAGCCCCCACCCCCGATACGAGGGTCAAAATCCCCACTTCATCCCCCTTAATAAATGAACGTCAACTCAAATTCACCCTTAATACCTTCCTCACCTCTCCTTCAATTCACCCCTTCAATTTCAAGTTTCCACCCCCGATATAAGGGTTGCAATCCCCACTCTTACCTCCCTAAAAAATGAACGTCAACTCAAATTCCCCCCTAATACCTTCTACAACCCTCCTTCAATTTACCCCTCAAATTTCAAGTTTTCACCCCCGATACAAGGGTCCAAATGAAGTGGGGATTTTGACCCTCGTATTGGGGGTGGGGGCTTGAAATTTGAGGGGCATATTGGGGGGAGGGTCGAGGAAGGTATTGAGGGTGGATTTGAGTTGACGTTCATTTTTTAAGAGGGATGAAGTGGGGATTTTGACCCTCGTATTGGGGGTGGGGGCTTGAAATTTGAGGGGCATATTGGGGGGAGGGTCGAGGAAGGTATTGAGGGTGGATTTGAGTTGACGTTCATTTTTTAAGAGGGATGAAGTGGGGATTTTGACCCTCGTATTGGGGGTGGGGGCTTGAAATTTGAGGGGCATATTG